TTCACCCACTAGAATGGGTGTATTGAATCACCAAATTCCTGTCTTCTATCCTCCTAGTCTTCCAAGTAGAGAAGTGATATACATCAATAATTATATTTTTAAGGCCCTTTTTCCCTTTATAAGTCCATTCTCTGCCTACATGTTTCTCAGTTCGCATTTATGAAGGCAGATGTCACACATGAGACAGTGATGGATAAACCCACCACAGAATTTCTTTGCAAATCTTGAGGTTTTTGTCATTTAAACACAGTGATTTATTCACATGCCAGCATTTAGTCTTCCTGAGTATTTATCTCTCTCATCTAATAAATATATCTGACTGCATAAAAGTTTTCCTGACTTATTTTCCTGAAGTTATTTCTCATACATTCACTAATATATGTGTTTTACAAATGCATTTCTTAACACTCACACTATTCTGTCATTTCTTTGTGCACAGATAATGTATGTATATGAAAAAGCATACATTCATTATTATACAGTGAGCATTGGATTTAATTAGTGGTAGAGTTAGGCTAAAATGGATTCCTATTTTGTATGATGATGAAATTAACACCAAAGATTTTAAGAAGTATATTGACATAACATTAATAAAAGAAGCAAATATTAGGTAATGTTTATTTGTTACTTTTTTATGTGCCAAGAAGTCTTCTAAGGATTTTAGTTTCATAAGTTATTTAGTGTTCAATTTAACACTATGAGGAAGACACTATCATTATCACTATTTTAAAAGTAAGAGTATCAGGCAAAAGGAATTAAGAAAGTCTCAAGTTTACATGTGATATAAACTAACTAATTTGCAGTGACCTACCATACTTAGCCTGAGTTAGATGCTATTTTAAGAGCTTCATATGTTTACCAAATATCAATATTATATTTAATAAAATCACATAAATCCAATGACTATGATTTTTCTCATTCTCAAATTGAGATGAGAAAATTAAAGCATACAGATGTTAAAATACTTGTTAAGATCCATATAGCTAGCACATTACCAAATGAAATTGAAGCCCCATCCTATGATTCTGATGAAGGTGCGAATCCTGGTGACTTGACACAAAAGTCCACACTTTACCACTGCTTTCTGCTGCCTTGCAGACAAACTGTACATGAATATTTGGTAGAATTATTGCCATGTGGGATTAGAGGAATCATCAAAATCACCATCTATTTGGCATCTACTGAAAAATCCTCTCTAAAATATTCTCAAGAAGTTGTTCTATAGACTGAAAAATTCCACTACTAAAGAACATATTAACCCAAGTCACAACTTAGTCTCTTTTGTAATAATATTATTAGAAAGTACTTTTATCCATTGTGATGAAATTTGGATTCTTACAGGTGCAGCTAAATTCTTTTTAGTACTCTGAAGTTACAAGATATAAGTTTAATTTCTCTTTCACATTATACTTGTTTAAACACACAAAATAAAGCTTCTGCATTATTTTCTGTAGTTTTCAGTTTCCTTACTTATTGCACATATGACACAGCTATGAGTTCCCTTCTCATTCTAGTCTCTCTTTCTCCCACCCCAGCTTTTTAAAAATTGTGTTTATTTGAAAGATAGACAGAGAAGGAGAGAAAAAGAGACAGAATGATCCTCTATCTGTTGATTGACACCTCAGATGCCTGCAATACCTGGGGCTGGGGCAGGCAAAAGCCAGGAGCCAGAAACTCCATTGGATCTCCATGCTGATGGCAGGGACTGAAGCACTTGAGCCATGACCTACTGCCCCCTAGGTTTATTATCAGGAAGGTGGATTGGAAGCAGAGTAGCCAGGACTTGTTGCAGGCTCTCTGATATGGGATGTGTGTGTCCCAATTGGTGGCTTACCCCTCTGTACCCATAGTCTCTCCTTAAAAAAATTATTTATTTTTTATTTCTTGGAAAGACAGAGATAGGTGGATAGAGAGATTCCATTTACTGATTCACTCCTCAGATGCCCACAACAGCCTGGGTTGACAAGGTGGAAGCTAGGAGGCAGAAATTCAAGTCTCCCATATGGGTGACGGGGACCCAAATACTTAAGCCATCACCTACTGCCTTCCCAGGATACATGTTAGCAGGAGGCTAGACTTAGAAGTGAAGCTTGTCTCTGCTATGGCCTGGGAAAGCAGTAGAAGATGGCCCAAGGCCTTGGGGCCCTGCTCTCATGTGGGAAACCAAAAAGACGCTCCTGACTCCTAGCTTTGGCCCAGAACCTGCTGTTGTGGCCATCTGGGGAGTGAACCAGTAGAAGGAAGACTCTCTTTCTCTCTCTCTCTCTCTCTCTCTCTCTCTCTCTGCCTCTTTCTCTGTAATCCTGCCTTTCAAATAAATAAATAAATCTTAAAAAAAAAAAAAAGGCGAAGCTGGGACTTGAACCTAGGAACTCCAAAGTGGAATGTGGACTTCCCAAGCTGCATCTTAATCATTGTACCAAACAACTGCCCCCAACATCTCCTTTTTTTTGAAGGATTTACTTACTTATTTGAAAGGCAGAGTTACAGAGAGGCAGAAGCAGAGAGAGAGAGAGCTCAGAGAGAGGTTTTCCATCAGCTCGTTCACTCCCCAGTTGGCCACAGTGGCCGGAGCTGCACCGATCCGAAGCCAGGAGCCAGGAGCTTCTTCCAGGTTTCCCACGTGGGTGCAGGGGCCCAAGGACTTGGGCCATCTTCTACTGCTTTCTCAGGCCATAGCAGAGAGCTGGATCAGAAGTGGAGAAGCTGGGTTGCCAGCACTGCAGGTAGTGGCTTTACCCACGACGCCGCAGCGCCAGCCTCTGTAGATATTTCCTTTTAATACAAATAACTTTATAAATGTTCTTCCTAAAACGTAAAACACAACACACAGTATTTTGTTTATGTTCTGAATATTATAGAAGGCTAAAATATTCCATTTATTTAATGAAAGTAGTACTGTGTAATGGTTGCAAGGGTGATACTGAAACAAGCTCTCCAGTTTTGGTTTCTACTCCTAAAACAAATAACCATATTAATATGGGCAAATTTGCTCAACTAATATTTGCATCTGCTTTTTGAGTTGGTATGAGGATTACATGTGCTCATAGATTTAAATATTTAGAAAACTATCTAATGTGTAAGTCTTAGACCAGAAATTATAGGTAACATTATTTTAAAATTCAATCACTTATTGGAAATCTTCTCTGTATAGACATCGTAAAGAGAGAGAAGTGTGCATTTCCAAGGCACTTCTACTTACAATTCTAGAATTTTACATTTCTTGTAAAGTGACCTGTGATTCCATTTGAATTTGGAAAATCATGAATCATGTCACGCTGTGGACTTGTAATTAGATAATAGTAATGGAAAATCCCTGAACCTTTTTCATGGCTGTGACTGTGAAAAGCTATCTCTTTGATCCTATACTATCCACTAGGTTATCCTGTTACATCCTGCAAATTCCTGATTGAGTCTTCACGGTAGTGGTTTTCTACTGAAGCTCCATGTCACATGCGCACATGAGAAGTTTCTCATCACCAAGTCATTGACGAAATGTGAAGTGGAACAGAATCACAGTTGAGCCTGCAATAGCCCAATACAGAGCTCCCTTTGGGGAATTATTTTCAGTTAGGAATTAACCTGACAACACCCACACCCAGAGCATTTCTTAATTTTGTTAAGAGGGTCACTATGGGAGATTTTTCTTAGAAGCCTTGTTTACATACGAATGTCTTATCAATTTATATGGCATTTCCTGCTTGGTAATCCTAAGTCTATTATATAAAAACGAGGAAATGAGCTGAGTTGGGTACAATTGTTCTTAGAGAACCTGTGCTGATGTTTAGTCATTACTGTGTTCTTCCATAAGGACCCTCAGAAACCTTTTAAAGAATCACTTATATCATCTAATAAGGGATTAATAATAATGTATTTTTTGTACTTTAAGATATATTTCTGCTTCATTTTGAAAGTTGAGACTTCATTTTCCTGTCATCCAGCTGTGTCCACCATTAACCACCAAGATAGATAATGATGGCTTAGAAATAGCATTTACAAATTCTCTGAGTTTTGAGATTTAATTTTGCTTGGTTTCAACACTTGAAGCATTTAAAGATATCCCTGAAAATCACCTCATTTCATTTAGTTTCCATTATTCTTCCCTGATGCTTTTCTAGGCCTCTCCAATCTGAAAATCACTCTCGTTAGAAGATGGAAATCAAATCTGTTGTTAACACCACTGGTCTCAAATGGATAACTTTCTCTGTGTTTTTGACAAGAATTTATATGACTTTGGTACTTTTAAAATATATTTTACATTTCTATTACCTCGGTTCTTTCTGATGTCAGTCTTTGAGTCCATTCTGTTAGGTCTAACACATTTATATATTTGCCCAAAGAAAGGCTCTTTTTTTGTACATTTAACCATTTCATCTACAAATGTATGTTGAGTGCCAGCTAGTTGCTAGGCACTGTTCTAGGTACTTCGGATCCACTGGTGAATGAAACAGACCTATTGCTAGCCTACTAGGCTAGTGTCTGATGTCAATCCTCCACTTTATTGTACATCAGTATGATTTTCTTTAACATGCCAAGTTTTAATTTGTGAACATCATCTAGCCCTTTTGAGATGTCTCTTCATTTAGAGTCTTGGGATATTAGAGAATAATTATCAAATTTTCCCTCTGAATCTTACTGAAATTACTCCACAATCCATGTTGATACTTTAGTATTTTTCCTAGCATTTCTTTCACTTAACATTTCCATGGTTTTGTAAAACTGAAGAGCAATATGAAACCAAGAAACTTTGCCATCATTGGTGCTGCGTTAGGTATGAAGCTTTAGATGTTTTCCTTTCCATTTTTTTTCATTATTCCATTATGATCATGCATGGATTTTTTCATGGATTTATAAATCAGATATTGCAGCCACTCGCTTGAAGTTTATTAGCGATATACTCAAAGATATGTGATCTATTCAAAGATATAGAGATATGTGTTGAGATTTCTTTCTTCTGCATGTGATCATTCTTTGTATTATTAATTTTTTCTGCATTTTAGAAGTAACCCTGCACTAGTCTATGCCATTCTAATTTTATGGACTTGGAGCATGCTGCAGTTTCCACTTGACCTGGCAGGTAGGTGTCTTTGTCTTGACGTTCCTGTAAAGGAACAGAAAATTACAACTCTTGATTACAGAATGTTCTGTTGCTAAATAGGTGATTGAAAGGATTATCATTTTGATTCACCAGTGTTCCAGCTTAGCTTAGAGAAAAATTACATAGAAATTTAGGAGTGCCATGTGTAGGTCTATTCTAGTGTATGATGAGCTGAAGATAGTTGAGTGGATTATCACACAACTTTATATTCACATCAAACAGATGTTCCAACACTTACAATTGTAAATCCTTCTGAAACTAGAAATTTTATCTATACCTCAGGTTTCACTCCATGAAATGGAAATGATCATCACAGTAGTGGGCTTGAAGGTTCTTGTGATGACTGAAGATGTAAAGTGCTTAGCAGGTAGCCGGCGTTGATATTTTTAAGGGGTCATTTTCATTCCTCTGTCAAACTCATGTATTAGAACTTCAGTAAGAGTAAGAATAGTTTCAGAGTCAAAAGTGGAAAACTAAAATTTTCCTCAGTGATGGCAATTGGAATTTGTTTTTAATTTAATAATGTCATAAATCCCCAGGATTTTCCAAGAAGTAAGCTGTTTTCCATTTCTTACTAATTGTAATCTAGAACTGCATTGTGCACTAGCTACATGTGACTCTGTAAATTTCAATTAATTAAAGCTAAATCAAATAAAAGCTCCATTACTCACTCACACTAGCCACATGTCAAGTGCTCAACTATCACATATGGCTGCCATATTGGACAACAGAGATACAGGAAATTTTTACAGCATGGAAAGCTTCTTGAAACCTTGGAATTTTGATTTGGGAATTCTCCTGGATGCCATTTTACTCTGAAGAAATTATAGAATGCCCTAATGACATGTTCCTTCATCTGGCTTATTTTTTATGACACCCTATTTGATGGCCTCAGAATTAGAATTAATCCTTTGGACAAGGATATTTAGCTTTGCAGTGCTTTGATAAGCTCTGAGATCTGATCCCATCCTTGACTTCATCATATGGTTTTTGAAGCAAAATTGTCACCAGAATAGAAGGAAACAGATGTTTGCTAATCACACACACACACACACACACACACACACATTTTTTTCATAGTATGCCTTAAAGGGTACACTGTATTCATTGTTCAGATAGAATCTACGGAATATTGGGTGCCATCACTCTAGATATCAAGCAATACCCTCAGGAGGTCCTTTGGCAAACATTTCCTGACCCTAACTTCATAGGAAAGAATATTACTGATCTTATGTCATTTTTTTTCTTTTGTTATTTATTCTGCCCATTCTCACCCTCCCATATCTTGTGGTTTATAGCCTTGCTAAGAAAATTTTTATTTAAGAAAGAAATTTTGTACACTTTCAGGGGGTGATAATGTTATACAGCTGTTTGAAAAACAAAGACCAAATGTTACCCTCTGACTAAATCACTATTGTATTTTCCAACAAACAGTACATTATGAACATTCATATCAAAGCAGCTTCATAATATTTTCAGACTTCAATAGATGAAGGCATTCTTTGTTTTGAAACTCTAAATGGACAGCTTCATTATTATAAAAGGATTATTTTCTGACCTCGACCCTGAATTAAATTTACATTTTAGAAATTAAAACAAAAAGTTTCATCTGTTGATTGGACGTCCTTTTGTTCAATGAGAAAAATCAGTAATTATATCCAGTCTTTCTTGTAAACCGTGAAACAAAAGCAGTAAGGAGTTAAGACAAATACAAATAACAAAGCATTTATATGGGCTTGTTCCCGCACTAAAAAAATATATTTGACATGAATAAAGTTTGAATTTGAATATAAGACTTGAATTTCCACAGAAAAATTACACATCCAAGAGTTCTTCAAAAAGGTTGTGGCAATGTGTATTATGAAAAAATTATTCAAGGATATCATTTTGGGGGCACTAACATAAACTCATCTTTTAATTCCATTTTCCATGAACTTTTTGTAGTCCCCTGTATACCTGTGAGTCAACTAGGCTATAGGTAGATTTTAAAGGGTAGATCTAGAATGATCTGGGCTACATCTAGTTTGGTCCATCTCCCAAAGTTAATAGTCAAAACAAGTCATTCATTATTCCAAGCAAAAGACAGAATGAGAAACTAGAGAAGGGACACACATGTTGTTCTCCTTGAAACAAAATGCACCACTAAGTATTTAGGCTTCTCAGTCCTCACAGATATCATTGTTATCACAGTTTTCAAAAGAGGAAAACTGAGGCCCAGAATGGTTAAGGAATTTGGCCAGCTAGAAAATGAGGTTGCCAGACTCCCTGATTTGAGGCAGTGAGTACTGCCTCCCTACACTGTGGACTGCAAGAACGCACATAGCACCTTCCTTTATCCTCTCTAATTTACTCAACTGTACTGTCCCCACAGTGAGAGCTAGCAGATAATCTGAAATATATTACATGGATAGAATGAAATTACAGAATCATTTTCAGTCATTTACTAGGGTCAACCCAGTTTAACTTCTACCCCCATTTCATTTTGTCTCGGATTTCTGTGTGACAGAGAGAGAGGTTAACCGGTCTGTCTTGCATTTTCAGTGCAGAATGTCGTGTGCTCCTCCACTGTGCTAGCCCGGGGATTCCCTAGCCTGTTCTTCTGCCAGTACAGTGCGGACCTGTGGAACATTGGAATCAGCGTCTTCATCCAAGATGGTCCCTTCCTCATTCTGCGCCTCATCCTGATGACCTGCTTCAATGTGACCAACCAGATGCTGGTATTCTTTGCTGCGAAGAATTTCCTCGTGGTGGTGCTGCATCTCTACCGCTTGGTGGTGCTGGCTTTGGGAGCACGTGCTTCCTTGCAAAGGCATTCAAAAAGCTCCAAAGGAGAGCCTGTGTGCCAAGGTCGGCACTCTGAGAGTGGGCCCTCCCTGGAGGTCTGGCAGGGAGAGGCTAAGGAGGACCTGGCTATTGCTTTGCAAGCCTCACCTGCCGCCTCCGATTCCCACTCCACACCCTAGTAATTTACTGACAGCACTACAGCAACTGGGACATGTGGCTTTCTGGTTTCTTAGAGGCAGACTCTCCCTCTGTTTTTTCCCTCCCTTCTTTGGCATATAATGATTCTCAAAGGAACAACATAAAAAGGCGATGTTCAATCAAAGCTGAGAAATTTTCTTTCTTCAACTGGAAGGCGCTTTGATTAGTGACTTTTACTACAACTTTGTGTGAGATGGTATCAGATGTTATAGTTGTTGAACAACTAAAATGATTTGCTTGTAGTGAACTGTTTGAAAAGCCATGGACAAGGTTATAGTGATATGCCCTGGAAAGATTTAGTGCAGACAACTGTCACAGCTGTGACCTGAAAATGCAGACGCTTTGAACTTTGGCTCCATTGTCAGACTATCTATTCTGATCTTTTCTGCAATGTGCTCTGACATCAAAAATGTACATTTAGTGAATGCAGAACAAATGAAGGGAAAAGTGCCTTTAACATTACCTCATTGTGGGCTGTGAGCAGTGACAAATCTCTGCCCAGCTTCCATACCAGATAAAGTCCCATTCATCCCCGGGAAGGCCTTCCCAGGAAAATCTTTTTTCTGGGTTGATGTGGTTTTCTGGCATGGCGCATATGCTCTTCTAGGAACTTTCTTGCTTTTGGCTTGGGTGCTATAAAGTTCACAGCAAGCCATTTCAATTACGTATCCATTGGTGGAAAGACAGCAAATACTGGTAAAAAGCAAGCAAAGACGTGATTTGCAGAGTTCGTCGGTGTTTTTCTGAATTCCATTTTACCATTTCCTGTACTACCAAGTTGAATCTTATGAGCCGATGCTGAGAAGTTCAGAAGCAGCGTATAAAGGGGCTTGGGGCCCTGTCAACGTTACCATGGTTTCTGGTGTTTGCCAGCAGCAACAACCATAATTGCAGCTCCTCTCACCTGCCACCACTGGAGATGGCCTTTGGTCTCAGGGAATATGACCACGGATGACCGCAACCACCCCGCCTACAGCCAACAGCCGTCCTATTGTGGCAATCAAGGCAATCCGCTTCATCTCCCTGCACGATGACTTCAGTTCCCAGCACTGGGAGAGCCATGTATTTCCATTACACACCTCCATCCTTTTCCGATGGAAGTGATTGAGAAACTTTTAAAGTGATTTTTGCTTTGAAAGGTATTGTGTAAAACTTCACATGGATGTATAGCAATAATTATGGGAGACAAACAAGTCTAAAACTTCTTTTAGGCTTCAAAGCACACGTAATTCTTCCTCTGTTAGTATGCTCAGATCATTTACGGTAGAGTATGCCCTTAATTGTGTGTAACCTAATGACAACCAATTGGGACAATTTTATCTATATATCTGTGTGACATGATATTCATTCAAAACTTTCAATAAAACGTTTTATATACAAATTCTGTTTCCTATGCAGTACAACGCATATTTTATAGTTATTTTCTTTTCTTCCTTGTGGTTCTAGGTTTAACGATACGATAATTGTAAAATTACACATGAAAGAATACATTAATACTTTTCCATAATAATTTTATGCAAGTCAAGATCAGTGAATTATATTTATATGAAGTAAAGAACTTGACAACTTTTAAGGGCATGCTATTTAAAATGCTTAGCAATTGAAAGCAAAAATAATAACTGCTATTTATAAAAAGCCTTTAGCAGAATCTGTTTTTATGCTGACTGTTTCATGTTGAATATTTTCTCCCACAACATGTATGTGCCGCTTATTATTGCAGATTTGCTCATGGCATACTTGTCATGTTTTAATTTTTTTCTTCCAGCAAAACAAACACAAGCCTCTAAAAATAGATCAAGTATAAAGTAATACGGCTGTTACAAAGATATTTTTAAATGCTTTCAAATCTGAGACTTGGCTTGGCTTCGTGAATGAGTTTCTCGTGTTTAAATAAAGTATTTTGTAATTAGCACTCCTGCTAAAGGCCTGGGAAATAGAAAGCCTGTCCAAAGTCTAGTTTTATTTAGAGTGCCAGGAAGTCAAAGAGCACTCAGGACTGACTGTCTTGGCAATTAATGGCAGCAAAAATAGACACACATTCTGCAGAGTTTTCCAGGAAAATCTGCTAAGTGAAGCATTTGTTAACCTAACTGCCAGTACTCCCACTCCCATAGACTGGCTGTTTTTATAGTACAAAAAAAAAATCCATATTAGTTTACTTTATTTACAAAAAAGCCGTAAGTTCAGATTATATCCCTAAAGGAAACTTAAAAATTTATTCAATTAAATGTATGCTTTTATTGTAGACTGCTGAACATTGTAATGTTTTAAAACATCCAAATGTTTGCTTTAAAGTGGCTAGAACATCAGTTACTTTCCATATGGTGACATCCTGGGATTGTTTGCCTTCCATTTGTACTAAGATGACTGACTCACGTCATCTGTATGATGCGATGCAGACCGTACCTCTCTGCCACACTACAGGCCAATCCCCGACGGCTGCTGGAAGTGACTCATTTGTGGTCATAGGTGCTGTTGCTAATATTGATACTGTTATTATTTAATTTCTTTATTGAAGGCTAAATGTCCTTCCTAAAAACACATTCTTTTTGTAAGAAAACACAGTGTACATGTTATAATAATACTGTGCCGAAATCATCTCATGACCATTTACTGGATGAATTACAGACAACAAGATTAGAAAACTCACCTTTTACTTGATTATTGTGTCAATTTTTATTTAAGCTTGAAGTGATGACAAAAAAAATTTTTTTGACTTGGTCAATAACATTTTTTCTAATCTGTTGATATGGCAAAGAATAGCAGGATTCACTGTTGTGATATTAATTAATAACTCATTGTGTAATAGAAACTTTCAGAATCTCTGGGAAGACATGTGTTGTATTTGCACAAACTGCAGCATTTCCACCAAGCCTCAGAGGTGAACACTGACTCTTACCATCGTTGGCATTTGATCTTGATGACTCTTAACCTACTCTGCTCTTAAAAGAGAGAAAGAATTGCAAAATCCAGGACTCTTCATCTTAACTCTACTCTGAGAGAGATGTTGAAATATACTGCAGAGTTTCAGAGATGCAAGTGAAAAAATAGCGTTGAATTACAAGAAACAAAGACTGGCATTTTTTTCTAATGTCAGACTTTGCTTTTTACTTAGTAGACATTCTGATCGGCTCTCAGAAATATCTGATTGGGAGCTGAACTAGGCAGCTGGAGGATGTTTACAGCTTTGAGGCTTCAAATAACTTTCTGTATGAAGGGAGTAACTTTAAACAATGTTTAAATACTTAACTGCTACAGCCTTATATTTATGGGTATATATCTTCTGAATCTTTTTTTTACTAGAATACAGTATAAGAATATTTTCTCTGAAGTCTTTATACTATACTATTTTACTATGAATGACCTTTGTATTTTATTATATGCATTAAATAGTGTGTGCACAACTTTATCTTAATGTCTGTTTTTTGCCAGCATTTCATGCCTTTGTTCTCTTCTGTAATTCATTTCCTTCATGGTTTTTAAGCTCTGGTTTAAGAAATATAACTGATTTATCTAGAATATGATTAAAGTGGCATTTCAAACTAGTGAGGAAAAGCTGACCAATTTTGTAAATGATGTTGGCAAATTTTGCAATTCATCTGGAAAAAATAAAGTTAGATTTTTATCTTATGCAATATATAGAAATAAGTTCCAGATGAATTAAAGATCTACATGTAAAATGAAAACTATAAATATTCAAAGAAAATATGGAATGTGTCTTTTGCATGGGGAGGATGGGAAAAATCATCAGGAGTAAGACATGAAACCCAGAAGCCAAAAAATAAGTGATTGACAGATAAATAGTCTAACATTCCTCAATGGGAAAACATATAATGAATACGTTGTTATTGTTTTATTTTCTGGAAAAAAGGAGCCAGCGCCATCATATGAGATAAAGGAGAGGTATAGATATTGGAAAGAAGGAGCTAAAATTATCATTTATTTGTAAGAGATAGAGTCTTGAACACTCAAGAAGAGCATATTGAAAACTAAGAAAACTATTTAAAATATCCTGAAATATATGAGAATTAATAGCTTTTCTGTATACAAATATCACTTATAATGATTTTTAAGGAAGAGATTGCCTTACAATATGAACTAAAAACACAAAATACATAGAAATAAATGTGTATTAGATCTATGTGAAGAAATCTTTCAGATGATATTGAGTGTCATAGTGAATAATTTAACACAGAAATATATATTCTATTGAATAGTCAAAAGTGTTGACATTTTCAAAAGTGTGAATTTCCCCCAAATTCATCTATAAATTTAATAAAACTTCATAATGGTTTAAATAATAGTTAAATTTTTATTAACAATGCAAAACTAATTCAAAAGATTTCATGATAATATCAACAAAAGAATAACTGGAGAATATGAAAAGGAAACAGAAAGAAAAGGTTTTCAATATATTTAAATATTAGTTACAATCACCAAAATAATCTGATTCTGGCATATGGGTAGGAAGGTTAAAACCTTTTTTTTTTTTTTTTTTTTTTTGGACAGGCAGAGTTAGACAGAGAGAGAGAGACAGAGAGAAAGGTCTTCCTTTCTGTTGGTTCACCCCCAAAATGGCCGCTGCGAAACCAGGAGCCAGGTGCTTCCTCTTGGTCTCCCATGCGGGTGCAGGGCGCTAGCACTTGGGCCATCCTCCACTGCCCTTCCAGGTCACAGCAGAGAGCTGGTCTGGAAGAGGAGCAACCGGGACAGAACCCGGCACCCCAAATGGGACTAGAAAGCAGGGTGCCAGCGCTGCAGGCAGAGGATTAACCAAGTGAGCCGCGGCACCAGCCAGGTTAAAACATTTTAAAGAATGAGGTTAGTAAATAGACTGAACTGCATATGGGATTCTGATTTATGATAAATCATATTGTAGGGGTAGAATATTATAAATGAGTTAGTTTTGGGAAAATAATAAATTTGATCCCTGCCTCAATCTTTTACATCCAAAACACTTTTCCAGATGGTTCAAATAATTAAGTATTTAAAATAAAATATAAACTTAAGAACTCTGCTTTTATAACTGCAGTGTTAAGAATGCTTTTTGAGCAAGACACAAAACCAAAAAGCATTGAAGATTCATAAATTTTGGCATAGTAAAAATATCATGTCAATTCAAAAGTTAAGCAAACTGGGTAAATACGTCTGCACCAAATATAACAAAGCATCGGTTTTCTTAATATACAAATAGTTTTTTAAATATGAAAAAGAGCAAAACACATAAATGTTTGATTCACTACAAACAGAATTAAAAATGCAAATAAACCACAATGAAATATCATTTTTTTAAAGGCAGACTAAACTACAAGGTAACCATTTTTCACTTATTGGGTTGGCAAAAACTCTAGTTTCTGGTTTTTTTTTTTTTAAGAATGTTATATTAGAGGGAAGTAGGCATTCAAATCTATGGCTAGTGTGGGTACAAACTGGTAACTGCTTTGGAAGACCATTTGGCAATAGCAGTTGGAGTAAAAATATTATCTGACATAGCATCTCGACTTATTAGAATATATCCTACAGGTGCATGTGTGCATAAATGTGTATGTAAGGCTGTTCAGTTCAGTATTATTTATTAGAGAAGCATACTGCTTCTCAATAGGGTCATGGTTGAATAATGAAATTTCCAGAGTAAATCATGCAGTTTGCAAAAAGAATGAAATAGATCCATAAATGTTAATAGTCAATGATGTCTTAGATGTCTTGTTGGATGAAAGTAAGGATGCTATACAAGTTAATATATTACTTTTGTAATATATTTTGTAAATATATTTTATTAAATTTTTATAAATTTTATTAAAACTTTTGTAAATGTTTTCTATACATTGGCAAGTGGCTAATACATAGGAAATGATGCTCAAATTTCTGATGACTATGAACATCTACCCTTTTTTTAATGTCCATGCTTTTCATAGCTTGGATTTTTAAAATTGCCCATTACTTTTCTTAATTTAAAAGCTAATTATAAATCCAAAGAAATTTAACGACCTTATAATCCACATGAGCCTACTGGCATGTAAAGATGCTTTGATATAATTTTGTAAGTGAAGTAAATCGCTTATTTTTCACCCTAGAAAATAAAGGTAACTCTGATATTATAATTAAGGATGACCTTTAAAAGCTTTAGATAAATCAAGAATTAAGCCACATCAAAATCTGCTTGCCTTATGAAGTGTATAATACTTGGGAAATGAAATAATAAATAGATCAGAGAGAGTACAGAGAAATCATACTGATCAAATGGATTCACTGGACCTCTCTTGATGAGTACCATGGAGACTACTTTGCAACTGCCAATTGACACTTCTGCATTCCCTGATACTTATGGAGCCACCAAAACAATAGGGTGACTTCACTTGGAATCACTCAGTCAAGCTGACTTCTTCAGGAGAGACTGAGAACTGAAGCAACCCCGAAAAAAAGAACTTCAGAAATTATCTATGAATCTTTTTTCCAAGCTCTTGTTAACAGTCCATCTAATGCATGTAAGTAAGCTTTTTTTTTTTTTTTTGGTTCTGTCAAATAGTTACTAAATTTGCAAATTTGCAATTGACTGTGATAAGGCATCAATGGATAAAATGCAAATCTGGTCAAATTATTGAGGAAAACAAAACAAAAAAAATCCTAAACCAACCATATGTCAAATATCATACAGTCTTGTCTACAAACTGAGAATCCTGGGCATGGGAAATTGGATCTATGTGATAAAATATGTTTTCTCCGTGGATGCTGGTGTTCAGCTTCTGCCAAATGCAGAGTTGGAGAATTCAAATGGTTACAGTCCTGGGATCTTGGGGATTGTTTGTACCTTCTGGCAAAAAATGTTCTTCTCTATTCAACAGTTCCCATATGACCTGAGTGACAGCTAACATCTGGGTCAAAAGCTGTAATTATTTCATCAGCTCCCTCAGTTTAAACTAATTCTAACAATCACAGACTTTTATTGGTGTTTCAAACCCAACCACTTTCCTGGACTCCATGCCTGGATTTGAGTCTCCCCTCATCTTCTGCATGTATTACAGACTCAATAATGTAAGGTTACTTCAAAAAGGTCACAGAAAATAGAATTAAAATACAAATTTATTTTGGTCAAAGATATTTTGAAATCCATGCATAGCTTTTTCATAATACCCATTTTCCATGAATTTTTGGAGATCCTTCAAATAGAATACATACTTTCCACACCCAATCTCTAATCTACTCCCTTTCCTGGGCGCCTTTTCATGGCTGTAAGCATCTCTACCCACTCAGGTGCCCATACACAAACCAGATATATCTTTGCTGCTTCTTTCCTATACCTCCTTCCCAAGTTATTTCTAACTTCTCTCAGTTACACTGGTTCTACTTCCTTTCAATCTTTATCCTGCTGTCTCTGTTTTAAGTGCTACTATCTTAATTTAGAGTTGCAACTTGTTTTGCCTCAATGATCATAACATCCTTTTCCAACTGGTCTTCCAATTTCTTGGTTTAATTCTCCTTAATAATAATACAAACTGCATTTAGAGCTTGCCATTCTAAAGTCCACATTTGATGATGTGTTTCTTCTATTTAAATCACTTTGATGTCTCACTGCCAACAAATCAAGCCCAAAGTCCCACAACCTTTCACAAACTGGATTTAACTCAACTGTTCAACTTTGTTTCCCATCATTGCAGTCCTTCACTTAAACACACTGTATGTATGTGCACACACACACACACACACACACACACAGCTCCTCTGCCCCCTCCCCAAGAAACTACTCATGTTTTTCTAAATTTGTCATTGTCCTTTATATCACCATGTACTTATAGGCATTATTTGTTTTTTCAGCAATTCTTACTATTGCCACAACTCCATTAATTGTTTCTTGTCTACTTGCCTACTCCTCTTCTCTCATCAATGGCCCAACTTTCCCATCTAGAGTTGATGAGTACAGAGAAAACAATACAGTATCATATTGTTCTACCAAAAGGGAACTCTGGAAGAGTGAGTGTAAACATCTAGAGTGAGTGTAAACACCTAGATCTGAAGCAGAGACATCCTCCAGCCCTTGGTCCTTGATTTCTAAGTTTGTCTTTGAAGCACCAAAGCAAAAAAAGAAATTAGGTAAGACAATGGAGATGTAGAGCATTGAAATTTATCGCTTATCATGGACCTTAACTAGAGCGTGAAGGAGAAGGTCAATGGTATGGTCTTAGAGGTTTTCTCCTTTTCTCCTCAAGTTTAGTTGAACATTCAGTTTCTCCAGTATAATACTCCTCCCCATCCGTAGTTTCAACTTCTGCAGTTTCAGTAATCTGCAGTCAACCGTGATCCCAAATTTTAAACTGAAAATTCCAGAAGTAAACAGTTCATAAATTTTATTTTTAAAGATATTTTATTTATTTTGAAAGAGTTACAGAAAGAGGCAGAGGGAGAGGGAGAAGGAGAGGGAGAGGGAGAGGGAGGGAGGGGGAGAGAGAGAGAGAGAGAGAGAGAGAGAGAGAGAATCTTCCACCTGCTGGTTCACTCCCCATATTGCCACAATGGACAGAACAATGCCAGGCCGAAATCGAAAGCCAGGGGCTTCATCTGGGTCTCCCACATGAATGGCAGGGGCCCAGGAACTTGGGCCATGTTCTCTGCTCCCAGGCCATTAGCATGGCGCTGGATTGGAAGTGGAGCAACTGGGACATGAACCAGTGTTCATATGGAATGCCAGCAACACAGGCAGTGCTACATTATGCTCAAGTGTAGCTTGCTATTCTTTGTTCTGTGTCAAAATCTCAAGTCATCCTGCTCTGTATGGCCTGGGGCATGAATTATCCCTTTGTCCAAGTTATCTGTGCCATCCACCCATTAGTCCCTTAGTAACTGTCTCAGTTATCAGATGACTGTAGCAGCATCTAATGCTTATGCATGTTACCCTTATTTTGCTTAACAATGGCACTAAAGCAACAGAGTAGTGATGCTGACCATTTGGATATGACACAGAGGCCAGAAAGGTCTTTCTTTAAGTAGAAAGTGAGTTTATCATAGACACATATGTGTTGGAAAATCATAGTATATATGGAGTTTGGTATTCCTTGCTGTTTCAGGCATCCACTGGGGGATCTTAGACCATATCCCCCATGGAAAAGGATGACTACTGTATTTACTATTCCAACAGCTTCTATTTTCATTGCCTTAGTGAGGTGTTCCCCAGATTCCTAGAAAGATTGCTGCTTCTAGCAACATCTCCTAGTCAATGCTTACCACATTCTGGCAAAAATTCCAACAAAATGGTTTATCTCCAATATCATGTTCCACTGGTTCTACAAATGAGTGGCTCTTCTCTTTACTGTGTATTTATAGAATCCCATCCTTGTCTTTATTCCAGTGCTTATCATAATATACTGTGAGGATTTATTCTGTCTGCCTCTCCCATCAGGCTATGAGAAGTCTGAGGGCATAGGTCATGTCTATTTTCTGTTACAGTAACTCTGAAATCCCAGAAACACTGAAATTTCATTTATTTCCAGGATTCAAGTGTTTCCTGGTTGTGTGATTCCACATTTGCTGGTGTTTCCTCTAGTGGTGGGGTCCCTATACCCCTCATATACTAGCCCACATTTCCTTCTTGTGTAGATTCCATTTTAAATGCAAGATCCTCAGGTTGGTTCTTGCGCTTTCCTTTCCCCAATAATCCTCACTGCATTGATCCTTATTTTCTTCCTCACACTTATCACCAGTTGGAATAATTTTACTTGATATTTTAATTTATCTACTGCTTATTTTACCTATATGAAAATGTAAAAGTCAAGGGTGTCTGTCTCATTTTTGTGCCCAGTGGCTAGCACACAGAACTGATCAAAAACTATTCTTGAGTGCATTTGTTCTTTTATGTTTATTTATGCTTCTAACTCACTTACAAAACTAAAGCCACACTACATTTTACGTTTGTACTCTACTATGTTCATTTATTATCATTTCTTGAGAAATCCCCGATGTTAATTGTTCTTTGAGAATGTCATACCTACCTACTGCTCCATCAGAATGTAGAAGAATAAAGTATCAAATACCATGAGGTTTCCTTGCCAACATCTTTCCTAACCATCTGCCTTTGCTTTGTGGCCTCTTCCAGTCCTGTGATTATATGAGAACCATCAGCTCCTATTTCTTATATTTTCTCATTGTCATCTCTTTCTATATTCACAGGTCTTCCTACTTCTTCATCTCTAAGTATACAATTCATATCTTGTCAATTAGGGCTAAACTGTAGGGCTAATCTGTCCCCTTGTGACTCCACTCTCATCAACATCTCCTTACTGTTTATCACCTGCTTCCTTTCAAGTTTCTTTTCCATATTCCCATGTAGAATGCCCTTATGCACTTTCAATTCAATAGGTCCTCAACTGAATCAAAAATATCTCCTTCGCCAAATTTGTTACTCTTTGTGACCCCTCAATTTCTTTAAATAGAACCATCATCTTCCAGTTATCTCAGCTCAAATAAAAAGAGCCATCTTTGATTGACTTTTCTCATTTGCACATTTGTTTAATCACATATCTTGTTACATATAATGATTATAGTTTTGTTGCTTTTCTTGATAATGTAAGTCATATATATTCAATATAATGATTTCAAACGTACAGAAAAGTATAAGAAAAAGAAGAAATTACATGAAATCCCACTTTACTATAATGCTCATCATCATTTTATAAATATTTAGTTACAGGTAGAAAGAGAGATTATTGGCAGATGGGATAATATACTGGGATAAATACAATAATATACTGGCTTATTTTTGAAAAGTAAAAAAAAAAACAAAAGAGTTGCAAAAGTTATGCTTAATTTAAACAACTCTAATTTAATTTAAACTACTTATTTTAAACAACTCTAGCTGTCAGTCTTGTCAATATGACCTCTAAGAATGCTTATATAACCTCACTTGGCGAAATTAAAAAAATAAATGGCCTTTTGTGGATTTGAAGCCTGGAGTAAAAGAAGTCTCTGTGGTAAACTCTGGAAACGAGGCCTCACTCTATTCATCTTTCTAGGCCCCATGGAGACTCACAAGGTACACATGGCATATTTTTTGCTCCGTGAATGATCAATAGCATCAGCAAATATCTTTTAATACCTACCATAGATAAACCACTGCCAGCCATGTGAGGGATACACAAATGAATAAGACATTGCCATTGCTTTTGAGGAAATTTATATCAGTGGCTTTTAAAAATAATGTTGCTATAACCTCTATAAACTTTATTCTCTGCCACCTATCTTCATGCCTGTGAAGGGCTCATTTTGCTTCTCTGTGGGTTTTGTGTAGATCTTGAAGTCCCTAGCCTTGTCACCAACATGCTCTTTGAAAAATGAGAGAGGATGCAAAAAAGAAAAGCGATTGTAGAGGGATGATTTAAAAGAAATAAAGTTGTTTGTTTTCTGAAAACACACTTTTGTAGGTTGGTGGTGCTTGATCACAATAGGATGGCCACCGTAGGGTCTCCTAAACATTGCAAGAGCTCATCTTGGACCTATAATGATTGTGGCTATAATCTGCTATCTTCTTTTCAAAGGACGCAGCTCTTCTGGAGAGGCTTCTGTCTGAACTCAGCCATATTTCTAGTCTCAAAGTGGTAAGGCACCATTCATGTGAAAGCCCATGCAAGACTTAAAAGCCTCACACAGACCTTCAGAATAATCTAAAGTACATTCCTGGGAGGAAGCCAGGGCTGAAGACGCTTGTTTGTCACATGTGAGGGAGCACAGTGAGATTTATTTTTACTGACTAAAAAGAAAGAACCTTGACAAAAAGTAACATTTGGGGCTATCACATTTTCGCCATCTCAATTACAGCAAGATAACCTCAGAAGGAACACATTCTTAGAAATTATAATCTTACATTATCTCTTTACAAGTATTTTTCAAAAAAAAAGTTTTAAAGTATATTTAAGTAATACATGGCATCAAAGCCTTATAAAAAGTCTTATTTGGGGAACATGTCTGTCATTTCAAAGAGTCAATGTCAACCATTTTTCTCTTGTGAAGCAGTTCATTAAGCTGTGTGCTACTGAAGCACTTAATAACAAACAAGGTTTATTCAGTCCTGTTTATCCTTGGCTTGGGAGTCGACAGCAGGCAAGGCAATGGCTGATAAACCTGGACCCACCTTCCTTCTACTTTAGAACTATCAAATCAGACTTGATTTAACTCACAGACACCTCTGCTTCTGCTACACAAACATGCCTCTGCACTACCTGAGTAATGGTGATCTATAGCAGCTCAGTAATTTGTCTTTTAAAATTGTACACCTCCTTGCACAATGTAAAATTCAAAATCAAAATAAGCTCACTCTTGAACTTTTTTGTTCTGTATTCTCCATAGAAGACTAAATATGCAGGCTCTGTTTTATTTATTATACCTTACATGGCATCTCTTAGGGTGACAGACACATTCATCAAAGCACCAGTCTCTTGAAAGTGATAATATTCAGGAAATATTTGAGCAACTATCAGAGAATTCATCCTTGCCTTAAGACTTTTCTAAAACTTAATAAAAATCCTACTTTCATCAGAATCTTCCAGAGAAAACAGATTTCATTTCTCTAACTTATGGAGAAGCCAAAGCAAACATCAACTATTCTAACTTTATTTTTTTAGCTTCGAGTCCATCACAAATGCCATTTCACTTAGTGTCATCATATTGACTTCCTTTTTGATATTGTCGGCATAATTTTTTCCATAGAATAGGCTGTTCTTCATTGTAATTTGAGCCACATATTCTGTCTGAGATTGAAAAGATGTTGGTTTTCCTTATCTCTTTGAAGCTGAAGAAATGGAAGCTGAGAGAAGACCTGTACACAAAAACAAAATACAAATAAAAATAATAATTTTCAATTTCCTGCTAATAACACATAAAATCTCTAATATCCTTGAATTTATCATACTTGCTCAACATTTTAGAGTTCACACACTACTCTCACATCTTTATCTCAACCCTCATGACCACTATGGAGGTTGGTATTAGAAAAATAATGCAAAGACATGTATAAGGGACATGTCTGGGGTCTAAGGAACTCAAGACCAAAGGTTTGACTCCAGAGGTAGAAAGCATAATGAAATGCTTGACTTCTACTGGTGAGCAGAGTGAACATAAACCAACTTAAAAGTTTGGATGGATTTATTTTTCACATTGCTCTGTAATTTTTCAAACTTGTCTTTGACCAGCAAAACCGTCTGCTGTCTCTAGAAGTGGGTCTAAATACACCTGCATAAGGTTACAACTACATCTATCAGCATGAGCAGACTAGGATTAAATTACAACTTTATTGAATTGATTAATTCCCTGCAGCTTCTATCCTCAGAACTATTCTAACAGTCATTAAAAATGAGAAAAATAATATTGTGCACATTGGTACAAAGAAAACTCTCGCTGTTGTTTCTGTGGAACTGGGATTAATTATGTTAGAGCATTGCCTTTTGATTGTCTCCTTTTCGATATTTAATAGAGCTGGAAAAAATAAAACTCATTTTTTTCTCCTTACCACATTTTCTAAGACAATTAAGAAAATAAAAGAAAGACACGGTGGTAGGGGGCATGTGAGGTTCCGGGTTTTAGTTTCCATTTGACAGAAACTCGTGCCCTTGGCTTCACTTCCCTCGCTAGCTCTTCGTTTGAATACAAGCATTTTAGGCCACAGCAATATGAGTCTGCATTAGATTAAAGTGAAACTAAAACAGTAGATTCTCCTTTTTATTCTGTCTCAGACATCTTCATTTGCATAATTTAAAACCTATTCTAAAGTGACTCTGTCTGTATTTATTTTGGCAAGAAAACCAGATCCTGGGTACCCATTAGATGCCCAGCCCTGGTGGAGTCAGATCATCCTGTCTTCTGCTGCCCTAACTTTTTGTCCCTCAACTTCTCATGGCTATCTCTTGTCTGACTGATAGAATTCTTTCTGTGAAACCTCAATTGGTAACCTTGGAAAGTCTGAATCATTTCCAAAAAGAATTCATTACTGTGTGGGGGTGACTTTGACTTTCATGAAAATGAATTCTCGAAACCATCAGCTTTGGAAAATAATTCATTATACTTTTTCTTTTTTGGATGGGAAGGGGGATAAAATGTTTCACATAAAAGCGCCTCTTGTGTGAGTATCCTGCATGACCTATCTCTTATGAAAGAAAATGTTAGGACAGTCAGCTATTTGGAAACATTGCACATGCAAGCTTTTATGCTGACTTTCAGTGAGAACAAGATGAATCATGAATACTTAAAATTTTTCCCCATAGTTCTGTTGAAATCCCAGTTTAATTGTTTCAAAGAATGCACCTGGGTGGCTCTATATGCAATATGGATTTGGAAGTTGTAACTTTCAAGAATAGTCCAGCCTAGTGACCAGCGGGAATGCAGCTCTCTGGAATTGTCATCTTGGTCCTCCCTTCTCTCATTATTTGGGTAGATACTTTAATGTCTCTGTTTTTCCCAAGGTAAAAGAATACTTTCTATTTGCCCCAGTTGTGAAGATTAACAAAATGCCTTCAAAGATTTTGAAACATTACAGTAGAGAGCATCTAACATCTAACTATAAAAACATTAATATTTTGAAACATTTGCTTCAGATATTTTTTCATATGACTACATAAATATAATATAGATTAAATGAAAGCCTTCTTTGTATTCTTATTAAATTGTATTCTACTTTCTCCCTCCCTAGTGACATACAGTTGCATAGATTTGGTATGTATTCTCCCAGTCCACATTTATAAATCTTTATTATTTAAATTAAATAATATGTAGGGGCTGGTGTTTAGCCTAGCCATTAAGATGCTGGTTTAGATGTGTGTGTCCCTCAACAGAGTGCATAGCTGCTATTCCTGGCTCTAGCTCCTGACTCCAGCTTCCTGATAATGCATACCCTGGGAGGCAGCATTGATGGCTCAAGCAGTTGGGCTCTTGCCACTCATATGGGTGACATGGACTAAGCTCCTGCCTCTCAGCTTTGGCCCTGGCCCTGGCCCAGGACCAGTTGTTGTGGGCGGTTGAGTCTGTCTGTCTGTCTGTCTCTTTCTTTCAGTGTGTGTGTGTGTGTGTCTATGTGTGTCTGCTTTTCAAATAAATAAATTTTATAAATACATATTTTAAAATGCAGTATTTCAGGAAGACAATTTTAATTGCCCACCTACTGATCACTATTCTCTTCTTTCATTCTATCAGAACCCTGGTCATGTTCAAGATGTAGTGGCACTCTTCATACATCTCCCAGGCTCTGTGTCCACTAGCTAAATAGTGAGGTGGTGGGAAGGGAAAGACATGACTTCATTTCATTAAAGAGCTGTAAACACAAGGTTAAAAGCGGAACTTCTAGGAAGACCACTGTTTTCCTGGCAAAGGAGTCTGGTTCGGATGTGTTTTATCCTCTTTTGCTTTCAGTCTAAGCAAGGATGTATTGTCTGATGCAGGAGCTATCATCATTCATTAAGAATGAAAGGACAGCAGAGAAAGAGAGAATAAGCCATGGTCCTTGCAGAAGGGGCCTTGATTTCAGCTTCAGCTTTTATGAAAGAAAATTGTAGGCCTCAAAAAAGGAGTACTTGTAGGTGGCAGGGGCCTAAGCACTTGGGCCATTGGTTTTGTGCTGCTTTCCCAGGCACACACACAGGAAGTTGGAAATGGAGCAGATGAGACTAGAACTGGTGCCCTTAGGGGATGGCAGTGTCGCAGGCAATAGCTTAAACCAATATGCCACAATGCTAGCCCCTATGGTGGCTAATCTTATAGCATTTAGGATTAATATTAAAGAGAACTGTGGAGGCAATGGCAGACCATGTAATTTTTAAAAATTGTCATTTTTAAGTCCATTCAAGAAGATTATTATAGCACTTAATTTGAAGAAAAGTTTCCAACATTTATTTTAAGGATATTGATTTAAGATCATTTTAAAAACTTTCATAAAATAAGAGTTTAAGAAATAATCAAAACTATATTTAATCACTGCTGAGATTTTTCCTAATTATCCTACATATGCCTGCCTGTTTAATCCTCATAACCTGCATCTGACATAGGTATTATTGTGTACCCATTTTAAAGATAAGAACACTTAAGGACAAGAAGGTTAAGACTTGTGCTTCATAGAGATTCTCTTTAAATCTAAATAATCCTTCAAGGTATCTGCTATTACCAACATTTTAGAGGTAAACAAATAGAAACACAGATTAAACTATTAGTAGGGATGTATTAATGGACATACATAAATTAAAACTGGTATTAGGAAATTTATTTAGCCTTATAAATACAGAATTAGATTTTATAATTTGCCATAGAAAAATATGTATATGTCTAAATTTATGAATTTCAAGTCCTTCCTTTTTCTCTCTTCTCCCTAACCCCCATATTCTTTCCCAAAATTACTTAAGGAAGGCAGCTGAATGGAGATGTATAGAGCTAACCAAACTTAATAAAACATGGTATCCGAACATAAAGCAAATTCAGAAATGATGGGAAAAACATTTACTATAAGATCTAGATTTGCCACTATAAGAGGTCTATAAATTAGAATTTAGCTCTTTCCCAGCCAATATGAAAGGGAAACCTGGTCAGTGAGACAGGTACTAGAGACCATTATTCAGAAGCAGAACCCCTGCTTTGTCCTTGATATTAAGATGAGACAGGTATTTTTCACCCTGGGCTTCAAAAAGTCCCACTGCACATAGTGGATCAAACAACATCCTGAACAGCATTCAAACAGTTGCAACAAATCCAGTGATGAGTTTCCTAAGACTAGGGGAAGTTGTGGGCTCAATGCTAGGAAAGCATGACTACTATTAGTGAGCTGTTCTTTTTCCTGTTGGTTTTAATTTGCTTCTCTGATGAATACTTCCAAAGTCATCAAATTATCAAGAATTTTATATACTGTCCTCACTTTTTTTCCCAAATTCTACAAATTTTCATTAATCACTCTTTGACACTCTCTTTATAAATCTTTGGAAAATTTACTTTTTTACTGTCCTTTTTTGAAACACTCCTGATTCTGCCTACTATCCTGAAAGGACTATACCGAGCTATGGTAGGGTCACTGTGGTTTGTGCTAATAATTTAATATGACTTATGCAATTTATTTTCTCAGCCTGCTCAGTTGCTTATATTCTGTAAGCTCAGGGCCCTTTATAAATTAATAATTTTTTAAAAAGCTTATGATAATCTTTGCAAAACCAGCAAAACTCACAGTGGGCAGATTTCACTTTCTGTTCTAAACTCCTAGCACAGGTCTATTAGCAACCAGAACAATGCCTAGGATTATCATGGCTTTTCTTACATCCTTAAGAAGATTCAGACAATAGGCCCATGTGAAAAGAGTTCCTGTTGTAATTCTGAAAGTACTGATGTTTATTATTATTATTTTTATTATTATCATCATTATCATTACAAATAGTGAAAGTGAGAAAGCATAAATAAAGTCTGCCCTAGGGGAAGCCTGAAGCTATATCCCAGCAAGTTATTATGCTACAGTATTATGAGAATTTTTAACCATCATCAATAAAAAATGAGCATCAGAGTAGTTATGGCAGTTTCCACAGTCAAGACTGTTTCTGCTATTACATCTCTGAGTAAAAGGGTGATACACTCTCCATTATATGATATCAACTCATCCACCTTCCTGACATTAAAGTATAATGTACAATCTTTACATGGATTCTTCCCTAGTGAAGTCATATTTCCATGAACTTGGGGCAAGGACACAATGGGGCTAAATTAACTGTGAGCAGCAAGTGAAGTAAATTACATTTTTTGTAAAGCAATAGCAGCACTGAGATGCCTCCACTTCTTTTTCAGAAAAGAATTGAATTGAAT